CGGCTGCCCTTTGCCGTGCTCGAGTGCCCCAACATCAAGCTGAAGCGGCCGGGCTGGGTGCATATGCCCTCGGCCATGACCGTCTACGCGCTGGTGGTGGTCTCCTACTTCCTCATCACCGGAGGTGCCCACCGGGGCGGGCGGGCTGCGCTGAGAGGCACTTTAGGGTTGGGGGGGTTGGGAGAGGCTGAAGAGGGAGCCCCGAATCCAGGGGAGCCGCCCGTTGTATGTGGGGGGTAGAAAGATGCTCTTTTCTAGCTCAAACTTAGCCAAGAAATCTGGAGTTCAAACTGCCCTCCTCTATGCTGAAGTAGTTCTTGCTGTTTGCCTCTTGATTCTAAGTTGTATATTTTTTTTTTCTCAACAGGGATTATTTATGATGTGATTGTGGAACCTCCCAGCGTTGGGTCTATGACAGATGAGCACGGGCATCAGAGGCCAGTGGCCTTCTTGGCCTACAGGTAGGAACCAGGGTCCTGCTCCTGCCAGCCAGAGACTGCAGGGGATGAATGCACCTGAACCTGGCAGTTTGACAGAGCTGTGTCAGCTTCTTTTGAACTCTGGGCGGGGGGGTGTAGGATCTGGTGCACAGCTGACCTTGATCTGCAAATTAAAACAAAATAAAACAATAACAACAAAAAACCCAAGTGTTGCAATTAATAAAAAAAATACAAAAAAATAGTTAATCCAAAATTACTAAAAGCAAATACTGAGGTAAGAAACAGCTTTTCAGCTTTATTTTTCCAAATCCTTGGAGTCTTTGAATGGGTGCAGAAATATTTTCTTGTGTTTCATAGCAACATAAATCTTGTGAAGCTTTTAGTTCTGTGCTTTTAAATCCTAATTTCCTTGGTCAGACTTGGTTCTGTATAAAACTCATGAAGAAAACTAGTACATTTGTTTGGTCACCTTGCATTCCAGGAGATAAATTGCATACTAAGTGCTTAATTACATAAAGCAGTTTACATATCTACTTCCTGTTGAAGGCAGTTATCACAGTTAAATGTTCTGCATGTTTGCATAGCCGAAGCAAGCTGAGTAGGCTTGAGTAGATAGTTTTTTGGAAACCTAAATTACTTCTTGAAAATTAATGCATTTCTCACTCATCATCTTCTCCTCCCTTTTTTTTTTTCGTTTTCCTTTTTTTATCCTTTTTGTAGAGTGAATGGGCAATATATTATGGAAGGGCTTGCATCCAGTTTCCTCTTCACAATGGGAGGCCTAGGATTCATAATTCTTGATCGATCCAATGCACCGAATATCCCCAAGCTAAATAGATTTCTGTTGCTTTTTATTGGATTTGTAAGCGTCCTTTTGAGTTTCTTCATGGCCAGAGTTTTCATGAGGATGAAGTTACCGTAAGTGACTTAGAACTGTTTTTGCATTTCTTCTGTCCAGTGGCATATGTTAAGGGTAACAGAAAGTAAAATTATGTATGTTAAATATTTGTTACTTGGTTATGTCTTGCTTTTCTTTAATGCTTTTTTGGGGAAACAATCCACCATGAATGAGGTAGGATGCTTCTGAGGTTATCCACAGTAGGATTGTGTTGTGGTAAAGAAAGGCGACAGATCCTGGTAAGTCAGGTATGTGATTAATGAATTTGAATTATAATGAATTTTAAGGAAGGAGTGTGTATATTATGATTATTTTAAAAATAAATTACAAGAGAGGACTTCGAGGAAAAAGCATGTATCAACAAACTTGGTGAGGCAAATGGGTTGTTTATGCTGATAAACTATGTGTGGGATCACAACTAGAACTGCAGAGGGGAATAATAGATGTTCAGAGATGACTTAAGCAGCACTGAATTAAAGATGATGCCTCTTTTTTGCTTAAAAATGGACATAATATTGAAACATATACTATATATAATATATAATACACATATTCAGAGGTCAAAAAGTAGAAAAAATCTGGAGCTTTCAGACTGTGAGTATTCCTTGTTTTCTGTTTATTTTTTCAGTCTATTTCATTAGAATAGCTGAAAACAGCTGTTTTGAGCTACTGGCAGGTAGTTTCTGGAATAGGTCTAGGAGATGTTAGTTTATCAATGACCGTTGTTTTTCCTTTCATAAATATTTCTTTTGTGGTGTACAAGTGATGGGTTCCCTGGCAGCAGATAGCAGAAGGGGGAAGCCTGCTATTTATTTTCTTGTTTAATCAGACCATCATGTCACTTAAATGGTTTTGACTTCTTTTTTTTTCACACAAAACCTAAAAGGAACAAGAGAAATCATATGTAATTACATATGTACTGGCTCACATTAAGGAAACAATTTCATATTTAAACGTACTTTCCGTGCTAGGTTGCTTTCTGCAACTCCTCCACTAACAAAATGGGTACAGTTTCTCTGGAATTCACTACTACCTGTTGTGTATCTTTTATGCAAAGGGAGACAGTTCGTTAGTTCATTTCCCTTGTTTAACATGGCTGTCTGAGATTTAGTGTAAAGACCAAGAATTTAACATCAAAACTAATACAATGAGCTGATTTGTGTAATCAGATTGAAAAAAAAAAAAAGTGTGTTCTTTCTTCCTTTTAAGATTCTGGAGTTATCCTTAATGCATATCAGAAGTAGACATGATTTGTATTCTGGGGTGATTTTGTTTTTAGATTTTACCCAGACAGCGATATAGACAAAATAAATTTATGGGGAAAAAAAGGCTGGATTGCAATAATAGCCAGGTATTCTGCAAAGTATGTCCATGTCTCAACAATTCTCTTGGTTAAATTCTGTAAAGAAACAAGGCTTGAGAGAAATTGAAGAGGAAAATGAGTCTGATTTGTTGTCAAGATTGTCAAGTTGTTAAGATACATTGATTATCTTGAAACTGGTAGTTTGTGTAAAGAGTAAAAACACAGATCCTCTCATAAACTGTAATTTGGGCTTCAAAAATTCCGAGCAATAGCAAAAGTTGGACTGAGGACAGAGTTAATTCATTTTCAATAGCCAGTGAAAACAAATGGAGTGCATAGTTAAGCTGGTAGGTGAGTACTTTGGACAGCATTTACTTCCTTTTCCTTTTATATAGGGTTGGTCTGAAAATTTTATTGGCAATCTGAGATGTTTGTTAAAATACTGTAATTCACTTGTTTTACTTGTTTTTGAGGTGTACTGTGGGTATATTCTAACTTTCTCTCTCTCTCTTTTTTTTTTGTCTTCTAACTTCTGTTCTGTAGGGGCTACTTGATGGGATAATACTTCTTGTGGTGTATGAAAGCCCAAGCAGAATTTGTTCCTCTTCATGAAGTGTTTAAGAAGCAGCAGCAATTGACAAAATCCATAGTTGTCAACAGGAAAAAGGGCCTGGTTATGAGACATCTGGGAAAAGGGGTGCTGTCTCTGCAAAAGAACTTTCATTACCAATGGTTGATTTAGGTTTAAAACAGCTTTTTTTCATTCCTGTTCTAGAACGTCTGAAAAGAGCAAGTTATATAATTAGTTTTTAACCCCACTTCATATGAAACAGTGAATCCATCTTCGCTCTACCCTGATATGAGTATTAGCCATTGGTTTGTTGTTTTTTTATTGCAGGTTCTGTCCCCTATTCCCTGTGTGGGAAGACTTGAATTGGGGAAGAAATAAGTGAAACTTGTCTTTCTACATTACAATTTAGTTGAAAAAAATCTTTGGATGCTTTACAGTCAAAACACAATGTGTCTGAAATTATTTCAAAGGCATCTTTTGGCTTAATTGCTCTGTATGAGCCAACTCAGATATGCACTGGGAAAGAGGAAAACTGTATGAACATGCATTTCTTTTTTGAAACGGTATATGAAAGGTAACAAATAAAACTTATTTTCCACAAAGTTATTTGAATTCCATTCAGTTTCTGAAACATTTTTTATTTTCGTGAGTAAGCACAGCTTCTTTTACATCCAGGCTTGAGATGCTGTTCTCTACCATAATGACATAGTTTTAGCTTCGTCTTTCACTACTGGATAGTAATTTTTTTTTGCAAAGTACCAGGGACAAGAAATCTCTCTTTTTCTTTTTTTCTTTTTCTCTTCTTTTTCTCTCTCGTGAACTTTTACTGTATCCAAATGATATGCTGTTATCAATTGCCAAAGTTAATTTATTTAGTTCTGAAGCTGCTGGATTTTTTTGTTTGTTTGTTTGCTTGTTTTTGTTTTGGTTTTATATGTGTGAGAGAGACTGGGTTTCAACTTCCATTTTAGAAGATTGAGACAATATTACTACCATGTTTCGTTAATAAAAGTGTATATTGAATTCTGTAGGAATGAAAGATCCCTTTAGAACTCCATAAAAGTGTCTCTTGCAAGCCATTATGTATTTGAAGCACTGTTCTTATTTATATAGTAATTGTCATTGAGAAATGTAACATGTTTACCGATCTTTACCTTTTTTTGCTTCACTGTGAAGTGTCTATGTATTATTGTGCATAATCTTCATCAAATTTCAGAGCTAGCTGTTAATCATCTGCCCTCAGGATATTTTCATTCCTTTGTTCTTTTGAGTTATATGACTTCTGCATTTATTCATCTTGCATGTTTGTCTTTAGGAAGGTTGTAATTAACTTAAGCAATTTTACTAGGCTGAGAATTACTAAGTTTGTAGTGTTTCCCAGGTGATACCCCTTGATCACTCAGGCTTTGGTGAAACACATTTTTACTTTCAGGGGGAGTATTTCAATTATTTAAGTAAGTAATTGAATCAAAACAAGTCAGCTTCTTAATGCATGTGAGAAGGAAGCCAAACCAGAAACTCATGTCACTACGTGTAATTGTTCTGTTGAGACCACTGCAGCTTTGGTGTGAATGTCAATGGAACTGACTGTGAGTGAACTTACTCTTAGAAAGGAGTTTTAATCATCTGGTGAGTACTTATCGTATATGAAATATATTTTATTGCAGTTGAAAGCTGGTAACCTGTTTTGGAACAAAGAAGGCTGATTTGTAGTTACAATGTATCAAATAGTTTTGAAGAAATAAGACTAAAAGAAAAAGGACTGTGCTATCTTCAACAGTAAGATTAAATGATCCTTTATGTTTCTTTGGTCACAGGCTATGAATCTAGATCTTCTGTGATCCTCTGCTAAAACATGAGGTGCAGAGAGAACCAGGAAAAAGAAGGCAGAGCTGAAGTAAGATAGACTACCCAGAAATAGGAGCATGCTAGGTAGGAAATTTTAAGAATGCATGACTGAAGTACTGTTTGGGATTGGGCTTCTTGTTCAGCCAAGGGAAAACTTCCACTAGGCACTACAAAATAAACAACAAAGAAGAGATATCGCTGTGCCTTGGGGAGTGCCGTTTTCCATTAAAGGCAGGCTAGTATTTTCTGTAAGTGACTGCTATTCTCTGTAAGTACCAGCAGATGGCCTGCACTACAGGAGTTCAGAATGGAAGCAACTGATGGAAGGCTTTATTTGTAGCTAGTGAGAATATCTGGCAGTATTTGGTGTTTACATCATCTGGATGAACTGGCCTGGCTCAGGGACTGGGAAATAAAAATTAAAACACTGTGGTAAAGATGAAGCAGGACACATCTTTCCACAATTGAAAACAGAAGTCTGGCTACCTTCCAAATGCAACAGAAAGTCAGACCGAAGTCCAAAGTTCAGCTGAAAAATAAAATACAGGTTAAAAAACAAAATCAGCCCTCTTTTTGCCCTCTCCTCAAACCCTAGATGTTTTGGTTCCTTTTTTTTTTTCTCTAATACTCCTTCCAGATTGCTGCAAGCAGTGGAACAGTAGCATGCTGGAAAATCTGTGTTGTTGAAACAATATTTTAAGCAGGGGGACAGTTTCACCATTTTGAGGAGATAATGGTTACTGTTCTTGCTGATAAAGATAAATGTGGTGTTCTGAAAAGTTTAAATATATATGAGGATGTATGTAACTTATCTAAAACCTGAAGCACTTTTGCAGGTAAGTTTAATTAGTCTGCATTGATATCTGAAAAAACTGACATTTTTGTTACAGTGTGGTAACACACTGTGTATGTTATCCACAGTTTTGTTAAACTCATGTTTGACATGAGTTGAGAAATCAACTTGGAAAGAAGTTTGATATTTCCAGCAGAAGTATACAAAAGTAGAAGTGAACAAAAACCAGACGTGTCCTTCACTGTATAGTGGAAGGTATAAAATAACTGTTTTTAAGCACTACCATTAACTTTTTGTTTTTACTAATTTACTGCATTTTAAATTTGATTATATAGCATTTAATGGAATTTTGTGCAAGAGACTGAAAATGCATTGGTTATCCACTTCAGAAGGTACTTTTCAGTATGGTTACTGTACCTGTTTCTACTTAGGTATTTTATATGCATAAAATATTTCCTTAATGTATGAATAAAGAAGCATGAAATATTAGGACTTTTTAGAGTTAATCTTAGGAACAGAGACAATCCTGAATTTCTGCTGCTTCCAGAAAAGGGAGCCAACATGCGTTAGGGGGAAGAGAGTAAATCTCACTTTCCTGTCACTCCTGAAAATGCTGCATGCGATATGAACATTTTTCTGCATGGTAGCAATGACCCATAGAATGTAATGGTTATTGTTCATCTGTAAATGTGTTGCTTGTGTCTTGTTTTCAGTGTTACAGATTCATTCATAAAAAGAGTTCTAGCAGTAGTTCTGACACTTTCAGATTTTTTTTTTATTAATGCTTCTCAAAATTTGCTGTTACTTTAGAATATTTTTCTTTCAGAACATGCTTAAGGAGAGGAAGGTTGAAATCATTACAAGAAATCAATTGAAACTCTTGTAGAAACCTCAATAGAAGTAGTAAATTTTGTAATATTTTACTGTTGAATTGAGGCAATTCTGCTACACTAAGTAGTGTAAGCACTTCAGTGACAGGAAAAAATACAGCTAATACATCAAACTCTCCTAAAGGATGGTGTTTCATGGGAAGCAGCTACTAGAAATGTGAGAGTTTGTAGGTGATTTTGTTTCTCTGGTGAGAAATAATTATGCTGGTATGTTTTTTGTGTGACGTGGACACCTGTTAGCTAAGAGCTGGATGGAGCCCATGAGCTCATTTTAGAGCAACAGCTGTGGCACTATAATGGGAGTCAGGCATGACAGTCTTGCACCATGTTTTAATTGGTGATATGGATGCGAGGCACAACATTCTGATATCTTGTGTCTTGAGTCTGCAAGGCAACTTGCTGGGCTCCTGTTTAATCATACCAACTTAGTCAATAATGTTCTTTGGATATAAGATGAAGTTTCACTTCATCACATAACTATCTCATATAGGTTCTATAAGCATCAGAGATTTTAGATTAATTCTTATGCATGCAGGCTGCAAAAATTACTGTTTAGCTGTAAGTAAATCAGATCAGCTGGATATTGTCTGCCGGTCTTACATATGGAAAAGACTGACACTAGTATTTTTTGTATCACTTTTCCCTGCAAAGATCAATGCTGTAGTGGAGTTTTGTTGGTGTTAAAGCTCGGAACTGGAAAATGAACAATTTTGAATGGGTGCACACTGGTGGACTATTCTGGTGGGTTGGAAGTTAACATTTCTTTAGCATAACTGATAACTTTTTTTTTTTTTTTTAGCATAAGCTTGTGGGGTTTTTTGTTTGTTTTAGGATAATTGAAAATTTCAGAATCTTTAGCAATTCCTGACAACTTCAGGTAATACATTCACTGTATTTAGCCTTCTGGTACCTCATCTGTCTTTAAATGGGAATGGTGGGGGATAAGATAACCAAACCTCAGTCTGAAGAAATGCTTGAATAATAAGAGAAAAAAGACAACGAAACAACAGAAAAGTTCCTCCCCCAAATATATTCAACACCTGGAAAAAGGAGGAAAATTTAGTCACCAACTTGGATTTTTAAAGAATAAACCATATGGAAAATAAGCTGTACATGAGAATTACAGACCCTATGGATAAAAGAAAAGCAGATGTTCTTAGATTTTAACTTTTTATACTGTCTTGCGTGTTACGGAAACTTGGTGTAGTCAAAACAACTGGAAACTGGATGCAAAAATCAGTTTCAGGGAATGTTTATTGATTATTTTGTATTGCTTTATCCAAGTGGAAGGAGGTATTAACTGAGGTCTGTCCTGTTGCTAGTTTTGTTCAGCACCAAGTGACTTGGGTAGAATAGAGAGTACTTGGTAAATTGGCAGAAGTCACTACTCAGCGACTGCAAAGAGGCAGGATTAAGATGTCTTGACAAATAAGAGAGAACACTCTGCAAAGATAGGGTAGTTTGTATTTTTTAGAAAAAGAGTGCACAGCTTGACACTTAACTGAAAAAAAATGTAGGATGGGAGCAATGGGTTAGATAGCAATTCCTCAGAGTAAGTTGAGTTTTAGTGGATTACAAGCTGAATATGA